GCTCCATCGTACGCATGGCCATGACAATGGGCCTTCACCGCGATCCCTCCGAATTTGAACCTCGAATCCCCATCTACTTTAGCGAAATGCGGCGGCGGTTATGGTTCACGATTCTTGATATGGACCTCCATATCTCACTCGCAAGTAATCTTCCTTGTTTAGTACGGGAAGGAGACTTTACTTGTCGGCCGCCCCGCAACTTGGATGACATTGAGCTTTTCCCAGATATGAAAGAGCTACCACAGTCGAAACCCATAGACGTGGTTACCGACAACCAGATGCAAGTTTATGCAGCCATGACTCTGGGTGTGCGGATGAAAGTAGCACACATGTTGAACCGTATCGATACAATTCGAGACTATCAAGAGATCCTAGAGGTGGGAGCGAAGCTGGAGCGATTCCTTGATGATATCAACTACATTTTCCCTAGGCAGGGAATCCTAAGTGATGCACAGAAGAGCAAGCAATGGAGGTCGAGGGTCATCCTGGATATGCATGTGCGACGGCCATTACTTGCACTTTATCGACCTTTCGCTATAGGAGCATCTGACGCGCCAGGTCAAATTTCACGAGCATATCTGAGATCCTCAATGGTGATCATGAAATACCTAGACGAGCTGGACCCTATGCTAGCGCACTTCCAAGATATTGCCGAGATGTATCACCAGGTATTGAAGAAGGATATTATCCAGGCGGCTTTGAGTGTGTGTTTTTACATACGGTCTGCAGTTCGGCCAGCTTCTGATAGCACCGGACTTGGCTCACAAGCTCTACGCATGTCTCCTGACTCGTCAGACGACTTCCCGACCTACAACCCGGAGAACCTTGTGCTCTGGTCGCCATCACGACTCATCAGTACTGTGGAAAAGACGCTGGACCTTTTGGTTCGCAACATCAGTGGCCGGGACACCAAGGATGTGGTCTGTCTTGCTGTTGTTCTGGAATGCGTGTCCAAACCGGAAGTTAAGACAGATGAGGTTACACAAAACCTCCGCATTGTATTGGATCGTTGCCTCAGGGCAACCAACATGAACCTCGATGGTGTCCCTATGGGCTCAACTGGAGTTCCTGTCGACGGCTTCCAAGGGGATGCATACAGACATCATGTACCGTTCATGTATCAGCGAAATTCTATTGGAGTCCCGGCCGCTCTGAACGACTTTGACAACTGGATGCTATGGGAAGGATGGGAATAATGGAATCAAGAGCATGGATGCCTATCTGAGTTTTTGAGTTTGAAGAAAGATTTGAGTCTCGAGTTCTCTGTTTTCTTACTACCCCTTTTTACTTGAGTTTTCTTTGTCTTGAGCGGCTGGGAGGTATTGGTCTGAGTGTTTCTGTGGATATGTGAGTTACAAAGATGATGGCAAACTGGACTTAAAAGAACGATATACAGGATCTGGGAAGTTCAGCGGGCGTTGGTAAGGATTTCCCTGCGGGGATGATTGTCTTGAGATGCGTTTGTTCTGTTGGCCATGCGTGGCCCTGCGAGGCGCATTAGGGTTAGATGGTTGAAGCGTGAGCTTTTGTATGCTTTGCGCCTTTACAGACCAAGGGAAAGGAAGAGATGGATTTGGGATATAACAAAGGCCTAATGGATCAAGTTTCGTCAAGTTATTGATAGAATGGACTTTGGACAATATATCGCATGGATTGGATGAACATGGGAGCAAACTGAGCTCTGATGAAGGATCAATACCAAAACTATGCCCGCAAGCAACTCGATCTCATAATACGCAGTTTGTATCATTACGATTCTGTCATCCCAATTTGATATCACCTACTCTAGGTTCTTCACTTCCGTTCGACTTATTTCCCCATGCTTTATCTTGCCGGATTGAGCCATCCTCGCTTTCTTGACAGTAGCTAACCAAGCAGCAACGCGGCCTTCTTCAGGAGAAGCCCGGACAGCGGCAGAGAGTTCCCCAGCCAGACGGGGACACTGAGCGAGATCGAAAGGCAAACCGCTTTCTCGTACTATTTTATCGACTCTCTTGTAACCGTCCGCCTCCAATTGCATCGCGTTACTTTGGATAAACACAAGACGAAGAGGCATTGCTGCAGCTTCCTTTTCGTTGTTTACTTTAGCAGTCTGGATGGCCTTTAAAGCCCTGACAAGAGTGTGTGTGACTGCTTCGAGAACATGGGTATTGTAGAAAGCGAGTATGACTGCTTCAGGGGGCCTGGGTGTCTGTAAAGCTATTTCGAGGTCGTGTTGGGAGGCGGGTAGGCCGTTGATCGGAGTGAGGTTTGCATGATGAGGGATTTGTGAAGCCTGGGGAGTAAGAAAAGCAATAGTGAAGTTTCGAGATAGAGCAGATTGGATAATGCGGGCGCTATTGTGGTTTGAAGAGCTTAGGAGAAGGATATGCATTGCGAGTTTGGTGTAAGTAAGGTGAGGCTTCAGGGGTTGTCCAATGTGACAATGACAAGACAGACGGATGAATTAATCTTATAGCAAGGCATTACGCAACAGATCGAGGTCTTCGAATATGAATTAAATGCCTAGAAATGACTTGCTTTTATACCTGGTCATCTCGATCGTGAGCAGGTCTGTTGTTATGTCTACTCGGCCGATTGAACACGGCGCCGACATATTCGGCCGGGAGCGGGCCTAGACCTCGACTAATTGACCCGACTCATACCCTGAAAAGCATTGTAACTTCTTCTCGCATACCAAACCCATTCCATTCTTCTGTTGTTCCTAAGATCGGAGGGGAAAAGCTGTCGTAGTCAATTCACGGGCCATTGAGAGTCCGTTGCCGACCCAAATAGGAAATGTTGAAGCAGCAAACGAGCCTCGGCATCTCGGTTGCTTTTTAGACGCCCCCGCAGTATCTGATGATTGAAGCTAGGGCAGTGAATGCAACGAGAGAATTGATTCTATTTGACGACAGTTTGTGCTTGGACCGAGTTGTTTACCGAATTGGGATGAAAGCCGGGGTAAAGTCGTCGATCCTGGGGTTGTTGACTAACTCATGGTGGTGATATCATGTTTTATACATAAATCAACGTTTCCTTTTGCCTAGCATCTACCTCATTCAAGCAACTCATCTTTCTCGGTATTCACTAATAGCAAGCAAAAACTCTTTTGACGGGCATAGAATACCTCTACTCTACTTTACCTTATTCGTATACACAACCATACAGCCACGATGCCTGAGAAGAAAAAGTCACCCGTCTACGTCCTTGGCGTGGGCATGACCAAATTCATCAAACCCCGTGGCAAAGTCGACTACACCGAGCTCGGTTTCGAAGCCGGTATCAAAGCTCTTCTCGATGCCCAGATCAACTACGATGACGTTGACCAAGGCGTTGCGTGCTACTGCTACGGCGACAGCACATGCGGCCAGCGCGTCTTCTACCAATTCGGCATGACCCAAATCCCCGTCTACAACGTCAACAACAACTGCTCGACAGGCAGCACTGGCCTCAACATGGCCAGAACCCTTGTTCAGCACGGTGCTGCTGACTGCGTTATGGTCGTGGGCTTCGAGAAGATGGCCGCGGGCAGTTTGCAGAGTAACTTCAAGGATAGAGAGAACCCTACTGGGACGACGATCAAGATGATGGCTGAGACTAGGGGTGTTACCAACGCTCCCGGGGCTGCTCAGATGTTTGGTAATGCCGGAAGAGAGTATATGGAGAAGTGAGTACCTCTGATACAACACAAGTAGGATGTAGCTGTACTAACTTATATAGATACGGAGCAACGGCTGAGGACTTTGCAGAGATTGCACGCATCAACCATGCCCACTCACCCAAGAACCCCTACTCTCAGTTTCAGCAAGTCTACACCAAGGAACAAGTCCTCCAATCTCCCATGATTCACGAACCCCTCACCAAACTCCAATGCTGCCCAACTTCAGACGGTGGCGCTGCAGCCATCATTGTATCTGAAGCCTTCCTCAACGCTCGTCCTCACCTGCGGGAACAGGCTGTTGAAATCGCAGGTCAGCATCTCGCAACTGATGCCCCAAGTCTCTTCTCCCAAAGCTCCATTGATCTGATGGGCTATGAGATGACGCAGCGTGCTATGAAGGAGGCTACTCAACAGGCTGGTATTTCACCTCGTGATTGCCAGGTTGTGGAGTTGCATGATTGTTTCAGTGCAAATGAGATGATCACCATTGATGCTCTTGGTCTCTGTGACAAGGGTAAAGCACACGAACTCGTCCGCTCTGGGGATATCACCTACGGAGGAAAATACGTCATCAACCCTTCAGGCGGTCTTATCTCCAAGGGTCATCCCCTCGGCGCAACAGGCATTGCGCAGTGCGCTGAGTTGGTCTGGCATCTTCGAGGCTGGGCCAACAACCGTGCTACGCCTAACACACGATACTGTCTCCAGCACAACCTCGGTCTTGGGGGTGCAGCAGTGGTTACTGTTTACAAGAGAGCAGATGGAGGAGTCGCCCAGGCTGTGAACTCGACCATGGTTGGAAACAGGAACAAGTTGGGGTATAATCCAGCTGTTGAGGCCAAGGGGTTCACGCAAGAGCAGGTTGATTTGGTGAGGAGTAAGAAGAACAGGAGCGAGTGGGCGTTGCAGGATGTTGAGAAGAAGGTTGAGGCGAGGTTTTAGGAGTATGTGATGTTCTTGGATGAGTATCCAAGTAGTTAATGTGAAGGAACAAATACATATGGTGGATACATTTATTGGTGTCACACATTCATTCACTTGAGTGGCAAATGTAACATATCAACTACCTATGCCTTTCACCTATTGTCATAAGTTGGTGTTAATGAGGTTTTTACTTATAATTGAAATCATTGAAAGTCCGATTGTCCAATGAGGGGATTTGTTTTTGTCGTTGTATTGCATATCTTGAACGTTACATGCATTAGACTACATGATTGGCACGGAGATCACTTCATCCCCTTTCCCCTTTTCCCGCTGTCACTGTTTACTCTGCAAGTTTCATGACAACTTGTCTCCAACAAAACAACATATTATATTGACAAACCAAAAAAATAATAATAACGAAAGTCTGTTTGATATGGCTCAATTCGACGACCTACCCCCAGAGTTGCGCGCAGCAATATGGGGATATACTCTCCCCGAGGATGAGAACGCGATATACATATACAACCCAGAGTGGGCAAATGAGTTCTTCCCGTCGTCGAGGCCTCGAGGTCCCAATTCTGACGCCAATTTCAACCCATGCCTCCCTGCCCGCATCCAGGTCCCTATTCCTGGGGTATACAATGTTTGCAGAGACGCCCGTCCCGTTGTTCATCGCTGGATGGCCAAGAACAACCTCGAGTGGTATGATCGCCAGGAGACGAGTGAAAGGATTCTTGTCCGACCATTTGACGTGCAGAGAGATATACTCTACGTACCTCAAGATGAATGGGATATGTTTGAAGGGTTCGTCAATAGCGATGAGCTTGACCCTGAGGAGCACCAGAACCTGCGCAACAACATCATCAACTTGGCCGTGTCAGCCGATAGCATGTCGAGATTCGACAACGCCGAGCACATTGCGAGGCTCATGCTGCGGGCACCCAACCTCAAAAAGATATACGTCATCTTCAACGACCTCCCCGCGTCAAGAAGATCACAACATACCTACCAAATGGTGTGGAATGGTGGACCGATATATCGGTCCAGCAGCGATGCGAGATCGCTTCACAGCCTAAGCCTCACGAAAAGGCTCATATTCATCGGCTGGACAGGCACAATCAACTAAGACTATTCGAAAAGGTCTATCTCCGAGACCCGCAGAAGCAAATGGATAGCATTTGGCGGATATTGGTGGAAGGTTTCCCGGATATTGCTCACAGCGTCACAAAGGAGCTCAAGGTGCCCAGAGTTGATGTGACCATCATGCAGGTGCCTACTTGGGATATTGTGAGGTAACCACTAGGATAGCCAGATGTAGCAATTGGCATTGGCATTGTATCTAATCTGATGTGGCATACATCGACCTCTTCATTAAAAGCAACCATAGCCTAGACAGGCAACGCTCGCGTAAAAGGGACCACACAGTTACAAACAACATCTAAATTGTATCAAATCAATCGTAATTGAAGCCATATATGAATAGTTGATTGTCAGTCGAGTTCTGAGCCAAATGCCGTCCGTTGTCGTTGCACTAAACAACATACCACGAAACAAGTTATCCACGCTCTTGTACTCCATATTGAAGCCCAACAAAATCATCACCACCATCAACATTTCTTAAGGTTCTCAAACGTGGCCCGTAACGAAATTACATTTGAGCTGATCCTTGCAAGGGGTCGGCACTAACTAATTGGCGGTATGAAACTGGAAAAAAGAAAGTTAAAGCCCTAACCCCCTACTCTGATATAAAACCTCGGTCAGAGACGCGCTGAAGCGCGTCTCTGACCTTGATTCTTTCACATCACTCACACCAAAAACCTCATTCTTTACAGTCAAATACACACAATTCAGTGAACCTTTTGCTCACAATGGATCAATCATTCCCTCAATTCCCCAAACTTCCACCAGAAGTGCGTGCCACTATTTGGGAGCACACGCTCCCTGAAGGAGATGGTGGTGCTGCCTTATACATGTACAACATGGACTGGTGGGCACAGTATTCTCCCCCTGGCGTTGCATTCCACGACATGATGACCCAAAGCATTCAGCAATTGAGTCGACCTCCTCGTGTTCAAGTCCCTATTCCGACTTGTGCCGCTGTATGCCAAGAGGGTCACCGAGTGGTTGAGCAATGGAGGAAGAAGAATAACTTGGAGTGGTATTTTCGCGAAGAGACCAAGGGCGATATCCTCGTTCGTCGCTTTGACGCTGAGCGAGATATCCTCTACGTTTCTCGACATAAATGGGAATCCTTCCAACTTCTGGCCGTGGATTGGGAGAATGATGATGAACACGCTGCCGTCATTCGTATAATGGAGAGCGTCAAATACCTTGCACTCCCTGCATTCACAGCTTACTACAGCATCAGCAACATCGCAGGTCTCCTGCCATGGATGAAAAACATCGAGGCCATTTACGTCCTGTGGAACGAACTCCCCAAAGCCCATATGATCAAGAGGCAACTGCCTGATGTAGCACATATAGCAGAAGTCAAGATACCACTGGACGCACCGGTGCAGCCACGGTGGGAGCTAGACAGGTTCCTGCAGCGTGAGGATGAGGTTGAATTTCATTACACTGATGAAGAAACGGGCCGTGAGTATGTTGAAGACGGTGAGCTTGCGGAGTGGCTTGATGATATTGATGATCTGTGGAACACTACTGAGGTTGATCCGGAGATTTGGGATGAAGATGAGGAGAAGTTGAAGACGCCGCAGATTCATGTAACTGTAAAGGAGTTGCCTACTTGGCTCTGAGCTAATGATGGCGGATGTGTTTGTAACGTTCGAGTAGCTGTACTCAGGAGCCTTATACCACTGTAATTATATGACCCGGTTTCTCAGTTATCCTGTCTCTCTCGTCAGCTAATACGAGCCAGGTATACTTAACTCGTATGTCTCAATGAGTTGTGGAAACTACAGGTTACATCTTGTACAAGAATAGACGAGGGGTTGAGGATACTGTGATAATACTATGAATACCGAGGCTCATAGTTACTCTTCAACCCATACCGCCTCCAAAAGATACACGACTAGAGTCCGCAAGTTCACCCATAAGAGAAACGAGTCCATCGAATAAGCACGTGCTTCGATATCTGGCCATGGATAGCTCAACACCAGAGCCAACGGTATGCAGATCACAGTATCTGCATCTACACCACCATGGCAAATACAACAACCCCATCTAAGAACCAAAATGACACATCACCCATCCATCATAGCCCAGACCATCACCAAGACCCCTACTAATACCCTCCCGGCTAAACCGAAGCCCACTCACCGCAAGATAAGCCCAACATCCCATCAGATCATCGATATCAAGAACCCTCCCAGCCCATACGTAAGAGGCCACGAACACGTTAACGTCTCTGATGTGCATCTTACATGCCCAAAACTCCGCCGTCATACCACCGTGGGGGTTCAAATCAAACACAGGCAAACTATATCGTGACTTCAACGGAAGGCCAAGTCCACATATCGAGATCTAGCGAGGCACAGCCTCTTTACACCGAGAAAACAGCCGCGATCGAAAACCCACCACCCTTGCTATCGTCAGATCAGATCATGGATTCTCGGCCAGATATCCGGGGGCATACGGGCGTATATCGTACACGCCCTGTGGCTTTGTTTCTAGAATAACGCCAAGGCAGAGCCTCATCTTAAAAACTTATCAGAATCTCATCTGCCTGCCCCTGTATCTCGGCTCTGAATGGTTCTTGGGTCATGGGTAAGGTATAGGGCCGAGCCGCTGCGGAAGAGCCTCATGAGGCTCTCTTTTTCGGTGCTATAAACGGCACACTTTGGTTAGCAGGTGATCTGATTTCGCTGCAGTCCGATAGACTATTTTTCTAGTCAGGAGAATGAATGGTGGCTAATGCATGCATCTGCAGGGACTGTGGCTCGTGACTCTGGCTAATGTTTCTACAAGGCAATCGTTTCGTTGCATTCTTTGGATAAACGGCTGAAGATAAGGCAGTAAGAGTCTCCTTACTTCAACGGCGTCTCTCCTCCGAGACTAGCTTTAGTAGCTAGACTACCGTTGACTTGGTTCGGTGTGGCCGGTGACAACTCACATCATGTTACAAAAGGTGGGACTTGGGAAGATCAACATCAGCCCATTCTTTCGTATCGTATCTCGTCTGTGCTTCTTTGGCTCGCTGTGAGTCAATATCGTATCCTCTAAGCTAAAGACAAGAATGAAGAACCATATGTACATGTCTTCATGTCTTGGGACCGTGAAAGATTGATTGATAAGATGAAAAAATGTTGATCGTGCCTCAAAGTTTGTGATCGATTGTGCGGATGCAGATTTTGACATAGCACAATGTTATGCTTCGCTGACTACAATCTTTAATTACACCCAACATTGCACAACAGTAGGCGAGCGAAAACACGCTGGTTATGATATACAAGTATGTAAACAATTCATAAAAGGTTTCGATGAGTCCTGAAAGGATAGGCAATGAAGGGTGAGGTAGAATCCAACATCTCAGGGGCGATATAGGGTAGCCCATGTTTGTAGAAGCGACCACTTCATCCTAGATTTACCTCACTGACAGTCAACAAAGCAAAATCACCGCAGTCTCATTGACCGAGTCTGTTATTCAGGCCCCGCTACTTCTACCACTCTACAATTGAATCTACGGCTTATGTCACTGTAACCCAGGATGACGAGAGACGATCTTTGACTGTGAATCACTAGCACCTAATTTTAGACTCTGACTTACACGGACCCTTCGGCCACTGAGCAAGTTATTCATCAAAGAACAGTTGAAGCAACAGCGAGATAAAAGGCATAAGCTGTGAGATGGAAAACAGAAGCGAAACAGTGATTGACAAGCAAAAAAAGGCCAAGATTCGGAGTAATTACCCGTCAGAAGCGTTTCAGAAAAGTTTCCCCGTTGTATTGAGCACGTTTCATCTGAACCTGAGGCGTAGCTTAGGCCGCCTCCCTCTAACGAATTGCGCAATTATCGCGGCGTCCAAGCACAGAGAACAAGTGTTGTTTATTAATAATTCACTTCCGCCGTCACAGTCAGCGGCAGACAACTCTCTCAACAACTGACTGCAACTCGAGATACCCCTTTCAAACGACTATAAATCATTTACAATCCCCTTCAGACTCTTTTTTCTCCAATTTCCACTTTGAGCACGGACCTCTAATTCCGACAGCTTCCATCTCGCATCTCCGTTTGATACCTATATCCATATCAAAAAATACCCCGCCATTTTCTTCAACCTCACAATTACAAATCCCAAACACATTCACAATGGCCGACACTCACACCTACGAGTTCAACATCACCATGAGCTGCGGCGGCTGCTCCGGTGCCATCGACAGAGTCCTCAAGAAGCTCGACGGTATGCATGCTTGCCCCAACGACCGCTGACCGCTACTAACAGTGTCCCTTCGCAGGTGTCGAGAGCTACGATGTGTCCCTTGAGAACCAGACCGCCAAGGTCGTCACCGCCCTCCCCTACGACACCGTCCTCCAGAAGATCGCAAAGACTGGCAAGAAGGTCAACTCTGGCAAGGCGGATGGTGTTGAGCAGTCTGTCGAGGTCGCCGCCTAAGCGCTGCACCAAGATAGGAGGCAAGTCGAGGAAGTGACGGGCGATTGATCCATCTGAATATCTGTTAGCTTTGCAAGCGCTTGGGAAACATTCGGTGTTTATGGTCTCGGGCAACGAGAAAAGGAGGAACATCTGTTTTCATAAATAAACCTCTTAACCAATCCAGACAGTTGATTGAATTCAGCTTTCACCTTCATCGTCCGGAACCTATACCGCATCCCCATCACTGTGCGTGAACTTCGATCGACGTGTAGCACGTATTGCGCATAATAAACCCTGAATGTCGTATCAAAAGTGACATTTCCAGTAATCTTGAAGCTCGTTTCTTGCCTGTTGCCTGTTGCCAGCTGGACAGCATACAACAACTCTATTAAAACTCTTTGTCCCCGATTTATCTAACCGTTCAACAGCCTAAAGTTTAGCCTCACGGCTGGCTAGTACTTCCATAGCCGGTTAAACCGAAAGGAACGAGGGTAACTTGCGAAGTAACGCGAGAGCACCGCCATACGCAAGCCCTACAAGGCAACTCGACTGATATGCTCTTGAACATGTTTATCAGGTCGTTACGCTCGTAGGAAGTGCTGCGCGGGAGACACTGAACACGACAGTAACCGTGGGAGAGAGCAGGAAATGCAAATTAGCCAGTGTTTGCACAGAGGAGAGAGGTATGGGGCAGATGAGCATGCGCAGTCTTCATAGAATCCGATTTGTATGCTGGTTTTCCGGGAAATCGAATGAGTATTGTGCGAGTATGGCCACAAATGGGGCTAGAAATCACCATGACCAGCTGCTCGAGGGAATTTCAAGAAGCTGCAAAACCACAGAAACAATGAGAGATGCAGAAAAAGCAACAAGCAATCATGCACGAAATCAGCTCTCATGTGAGAAGCTCCCTGGTCCATGGAGCATAGCCCCTCCCTCGGGCAAACGCTTCACGTTGACACTGACGGCTCGTCGCAATGAACGCCATGGCAGGCATATCGGCCAATAAAGGGGCACGCACGACTTCAAGAATACCTAACTGGTAAAGCTTGGGGTAGAATTTTGACCATCATTACCCCAGATCTGGGTATCATGACTCCAGATTGCCCTCATGAGAAGGTGAAGCCACGCCTTTTGGCGCCAGCTCACCGTAACATCATTGGATCAGGTATAGCGTGAAGCTGAAGGATCCAACATGACCCCGTGAAATGCTTCCGTTTCTCCAGATCCGAGAAGTCTCATGAGGCCAACAACTTTTCAAGTCCGGGGCCCCGTATCACAGGAAGCGCCAGGAGGAAGGGATGCAGTTACACGCATGGCTGGACTCGATGGGGCTCAGCCGTTCTCAGGGCGTCTCCAAGGTCCGGGGGGCGTGCCGCAACGTCGATGCGGGGAAAACAACTGCGGCTCATGCAAGTTAAAACTGCGGAGCCGCAGTGGATGCCGTTTTAGCACTGCACGGGCCTGATGATGGGGCCTAGAGGGATAAGCGCGGCTTGAAAACGCGGAGGACCCAGGAACCCACGGACCCTGCCCCAGATATGATGATCTAAGGAACATGGGGTTCAACTTTCAAGATGTGACGACCTGGTCAAGCTAGATCCGGCTTCCCTTACTTTAGATAGACAGTATCGAAGGTGAAGAAATTTGAATAACAGCGCCGTGATGGATTATGGAACATAGCCCAGCATCAACTTGGCCTTCAAGCTTGTATACATCACCCATAATGTTGGCTGGACGAGCTCTGAGAGGAAACAATAGGCATCTTCACTTACACAGATTATGCACTTCTGAAAGCTCTTTCAAGAACAAAAAGCCTCGCAAGCCAATCTCCCTCTGGACCGACACGCGGGGAGGAAAACTGGCATGGGGCAAAACACATCTTGACAATCCCTGCGAAGGTATCGCGGAAGGTGGATCTTCAACAGTTGAAGGCAGATGAGGTGTTGCCACAGGACAAAGACTGCATCCAATCATTCCCCTACCAGTTGCGTGTTCGAGAAGCAAATGGTACTTGGCGAGAGAATTAGGGGCGGACAAGGGTGCGAGAGTGGCTAGGGAGTCTGATCGTTAGGCTCAGATGCCCCAAGCTCACTGCTCTAAGTCAATGTAGCCTTCATAGACAAGGTACATCTATCCGCAATCGTGACTGAGACTTGTATCAGGGTGGGTTGCGATGGTCTTTCTGAGGCTCGTTCCAC